TCGTCCTCAACCTCCCGAAGCATCGACCAACAGCGGCGGAAAAATCCTCCTGCTTTTGGGCAGACTTCTTGTTCTTCCTTTTTTCCCATTTCTCTTTCCTTCCCAATCTCTTTTCCCCTCCTCTAGGCTCTAGCAATTTTCTACTGTTTTGTTTCTCCATTGTTCATCGTCCCTTTCGGCAAGAACTAAGGAGTTCCAACGACACAACTCCCCTATAATCTCCACTTGATTCCAATGTAGAACCCTTTTCTAGCCTCATTTCCTCCCCTAATTTTCTCTTTTTCCGCTCCCTTGCCATTCTTTTATCATTTTAACCATTAGCCAAAACCTCTACCTCCTTCAAGATCTATTATTCGAAACCACAACATCGGTCTAGAAACTCTGATCAAAACTTTGATTTTCTCTGTTTCTCTCTTAAATCAGAACTCTGGTTTTCTTCTCAGACCAGGAGTATCGACCTTATCATCCAAACCCCTTGCCTCCTTCAAGCTCTATTGTATGAAACCACAACATCGGTTTGGAAACTCTAATTAGAATTCTGATTTTCTTCTCATATCATAAGTATTAACAAGATGTGGTATTGCCACTGGAACAAGTGATAGCACGAGAGCAGTTTTCTCAAGAATCTTCTGCACACACAACTCCCCATACAATCTATGCATCTTCTTTCAGCATCTGCAACACAAAATAATACTGAGTTCCTCTTCGGTTTGGATAAAGGATCAACAATTCAACTATAACTACCACCATCAACAAAGCCAACAATACCAAAGCTGAATCTTTCAAAAGTATCGATAATAGAAATTTTGATCAGAACGGATTCTAACGTAGATAATCCGAGAAGAAAAATACTGAGTACTGATTAGAGAGAGAGAGAGAGAGAGATTATCATTGAAAATGTAGAATTCTGATCCGAGAATAAAATGCAGAGTTCTTTGTCCTTGATCAGCTCCTCGATGGCTTGAGATCTCTGTGGTTGTTGCTCAATTACCGGTCTTCGGATTACCAACAAGGATCGACGCTTGGGATTGGAGGGTAAATTTTATATTTTATTTTATTTTGAAAATATGAAAAAAAAATGAAGAGTAAATTTGACCTTTTTGATTTTTCCGCCAATGTTTAACACTGACAATTATCATAAAACTTAGAGGGTACTTCTAAACATTAAGGGTGGAGTTAATCAATTAGTTAAATCATAAGAGTAATTTAAAAAATTTGCCCTTACCTTTTTTTTTGTTTTGCTCCATGAGACTACACAATAAGAATAGCCCATCTAACAGAATTCGATCCCAAGCCTTCGATACAATGAGGAATCCTTACAAACTAACAAATTTGCACCTTGCTTACTCTAAATTTTAAAGTCATATTTTATATTTACAAAAAAAAATCCATCGACAAGGATTAAACCTTTAGGCTCCGTTTGGTTTGTGGGAAGATTTGGATAGGATGGGATGAGAAAGTGTAAAAATTTAATTTTTCATTGTTTGGTTTTATTGGGATGGGATGGGATGAGAATGTGTAAAAGGGGATCGAAGTATTGGAGGGAATCAACTGTTCATTTTCCTTGTCGTTCGAACCAGAGGAGTGACAACGGCGATCTCTCTCCTCTTTGATCTCTCATTCTCTCTCTCCCTCTCTCCCTCCATTCTTTTTTTTTTCTATTTCTCCTCCCTCATCCGACTTCCTGCCACATTCATCGTCCCTATTTCTTCCTCCCTTTTCATTGCCGTTGCAGCTCTTAGTAGCGGCAACCTTATTTCTTCCTCCCAATCGCTGCCACTACAACTCTTAGTAACGGCTGCCTTATCCCGCTTGTCATTAGCCTCACCCGTACAGAGAAGATTGTAGCAGTCATCCCTTGAAAATCTCTCCTCTCTTGGCTTTCATTCGGCTTCAAGTCTCTATTATCATTGTTATTGGAGAAGGCAATGAGAGGCGAGAGGAAACTTCCCCTGTTTCATTGTTCTTTAAGTCTCTACTATCATTGTTGTTGGAGAAGACGATTAGAGGCGAGAAGATATCTCCCCTGTTTCATTGTTCGGTCTCAGGCCACATCTCATCAACTGCAAAAAGGAGAATCACAACCACGAATGTCTCGCTTGTTATTACTAATCATGTGGCAGTTGAGTTGGTCACTGTTAGAGGGCATCATTATCAACGCCCTATGAAACCAATGAAGCTCAAATGGACGAGGCATGCGGGAGGGAGGAAGGAGATGGAAACTCGAGTTTTCTTGAGTTTTCCCATCAGGGTTGCATTGTTTTGGTGTGACACCGAAGCCACGATATTGGGATTTCACATCCCACATTTCTCTCATCCCATCCCCTCTTTCCCTCAAAACAAAAAATTGAATGTTTTTAGAATATTCCCTTTTTCTCATCCCCATTCCACAAACTGAACGGAGGCTTAAGGGCACTTTATTTTGAGGTTAGATTCATTACTCACAACACCATGTTCACACTACAACTACTTTTTTATGCTTTCACACTACAGCCACGTGAACCGTGTATTTGAAAATAACTCTATAGTTATATGTTTTTATTTATAAGAAAATATTCTCAATGCAAGCAGTTCATGTACAGTCTTGTGAATACTGAATTCGTGTGAAATGCTCGAAATGGGTTTTGATTAATACAAGCGAGATAGGAGCTGCTCCTCACAGACCGTGCCTCACACCGATCTCTTAGGATATATAGCGCCTAGAACATCTTGTGTCTATAAATTTCTAATTCATGGGAAAATGTTTCAGATGCACGACTGATACGTGTTGTGAGGTTGGTGTGAGGCATGCTTTGTGGGGAGCAGATATGAACTCAGTGCAGGCTTTGTTTCTAGAACAAGGATGTGTCAAACGTTTTATGTCTAAATCTATGCAAGAAGAGCCAGGAGAGCAAATGGCGTTTAGCTCTCACACCGTTAGCTCTCCTCTAAATGAATTATTTTCATTTCCCTTCCGCTTCTATTCAAAACCAAAAACCCCTATTAACTCTACGTTTTCTTTCCTCTTTTCTTTCTCAAAGCCGAAACACTGTATTTTTTCTTCTGCCATGAAAGACCTGACCATAACCGGTTTGATGGCAATGATACTCACCCAATGATTCAGGCTCCACTTGTGGACAACCCCATAAGCTATACACTACAACACTCTAAAAGACAAAAAGGCATTCGGCTTTGGGAAAGGGAAAAAAAAAGAACCAAAACCTGTTTTTTGCTGCCAGTCGCTAGTGATGCCTTTTATGGCTGCTAGTTGGAAAGGGAGAGAACGGGGTTCGGTGGTTATGGAGAGAGAGAAGCGGGAAAGAAAATGAAAAATAATGGCAAATTTCTTAAATTACCCTTATGGTTTAGTTAATTGACTAAGTGTACCTTTACTGTTTAAAAACTGACTAACACTACCCTTACCGTTTTTGACAATTGACTAATACTTCCCTTACCGCTAATGTTCCATCATAAACCATTCAGATGTATATCATGTGACTGTTATACTTTCAAAAATATCCAACTTACCCTTATTATTACTTCCAACACCAGCACCACCACCAACACCGGTTCCGATGAAATATCTCATTGTCTCCTCTGGCAACCAGCACTGGCATCTCTGGCACCGACATCTATTACTTGCGGTTGGAAATGGACGACCAGTATCTCCAAAGGTTTGGAACGAACATCCACAAAACGGTTGGTTTGCTGATTTGGAACAGCGTTTTGACACCAGCACCATCAGGGTTTGAAAAGAATTTTCAAAATAAAACCCAACTCCGAACCCTCTTGCTTCGTGAGATTGCCCATAAAGTTGTTAGTACTGGATCTCTGAGAAGTGACCATAACAGCTGAGTGAAGAACCAAAATAAGAAAAAGAGGACGAGAGATCAGCATTGCTGGAAAGTTGGTCGAAGATCAACTCTGCTCTTAAACAAGTGGCAGTCGGAAGAATGGATTCTAATTGGAAAGCAGGAGAGATTTGGTTGGAGTCTTGAAAATGCGGTAGAAGAAAATGAGTTATTCTTTTGTTCAGTTCATCCCTAACTCCATAGAGAGAAAGTTGTTCGATCAATCTTGTTTGCTTGGTTACTACGATCACTCCTGATTTTTTTTCTACCCATTACTCTCACCTAGTGGTATCTAGTTTTAGCCGATGCAGAAACCAAATGCATGTTAATGTCGCATTTTATGAGTGATCGATACTACTAACTTGTGTTGGTTGGTTTCAAAGAATATCTATTATTTTTATTAATTTCCAACTCTGAAAACATAATTTTGACTTATTAGCTTATTTTCTCGTCACTAAATCTGTTAACATACTTACGACTTCTTTTCAAAATGAGTTTAATTTCTTTTTCTACTGCTACGCCCAAAATTCCACCTACCTTTTGATGGTGTCCACCCTTACTTCCTAAAACTAAGCTCATCAGTAGATCCTATTGCAGCGTTTCCCACTAGCACACTCAATTAACAGTTGAACTCTTTCCCAAATTCTCTTCATCTCATCTTTTTCCACCAAACTCCAAAGTTGGGTAACACGCACCATCTCATATGAACAGTCGAGTTCTTCATCTCATTTTTTTTATTCACCACATAGTGGAACTTCTAGGTTTGAAAGGTTAGGGTTTTGATGAATTAGCGTCTCTTTCCCCTTTTCTTTGTTTTATTTTGGAGCATCCCGCCATCTATCCTTCCGCACGCTGGAATTTACCCTGAAAATAATTCATTTGAGCATAGAACTAAATGGTGAGGAATGCTAAACGCTGGTTTAGATGTTGCATGCGTGGAAGGACGCGTGGCGCATCCTTGCGGTGTGCGAACAGAGTTCAAATCTGTGCCCCACCGCCTTTCGCCCCACAAACGCTCCACATGCCGAGCGTCCGCCATCTGTCCTTCCGCACGCGGTCGGCATTCCAGCGTGTGGGGCTAACTAGACGGCCGTTAACTTGTCCCGTTAGCCCCAAAACTGGCCCAAAACCGAGTCAAAACCCTCATTTACTCATTTCTACATTCCCACATGCTTGAATTGGATTCCCCTGACCCCGTTCTTTTCCCCTTACCCAACCTCTCCTTCTTCGGCACTGGCGACCGCTCCGGTGAATTCACCTTGACCAGGTATTTTCCAACACTCATATTTTGTTTTGCTATTTTGTTTTTTCAACCCTGTTCTCTGATATTTTGTTTTCTCATTTCAAATCAGAGAAACCACCGGCCATCTACATTGACCACCGGCGATCATCCGACCATTTCACTGTCATAGGTACTCTCCAACTCTCATATCATCACTCTCACACATTTTCTTATTTTTTTTTCTGATATTTTGTTTTTTCAGAAATTAGAGAAACCACGGCAACAGTGCTTTTTTCTCCGGCACCGGCGAAGTGTTTTGTCGATACATATGTGATCTGATTGGTGTAGGTTTCTGAAGTGTTTTGTTCCTCTCCTAGTAGGATACATGACGGGAACTTCATACTTGTTAGTATGGGAGAATTAAATGGTTCTGTACATTCCCTTTCATACTGCGGTTGACATTGGGAAATCACTGAACTTAAATTCATTTGTTGTTTATCCTCTAAATTATTTGATGTAATTCTTTTGATTTATGTACTGCTTTTCGAAAAGCACGAATTGTATCTCTCTCTCTGAAAATATATTAATTAAACTCTATGAAGGAGACCTGAATAAAGTGATATGCGGGTAGAAGACCGATTGGATAAAAAAGAGAAAGAAGAAAGAGATCCAACGCTTTGGTGGATTTTTTCTTTTCTTTTTTCTGATATTTTGTTGTTCTTTGAATAATCAAAATCAAATTCTTGAATAAAAAACAATCTGCGCCTGATGATCCCTGAAATCTTTGTTTTAGCAATTATCTTCTCCCTGGGTTTGATTTTTCTGTCAAATACTGCTTTCCTCTCAATCTAGAGGCTCCAGAAAATGGCAAATAACATCAACTTCCACAGGAGATTGCCTCCGCTGCTGATATCGCTGGTGCTGGAGAAAAAAGCACTGTTACCGGTGGTTTCTCTGATTTCTGAAAAAATAAAATACCAGGAAAAAAATAAAAAAATGTGTGAAAGAGTGATGATATGAGAGTTGGAGAGTACCTCTAACAGTGAAATGGCTGGATGATCGTCGGTGGTCATTGTAGATGGCCGGTCGTTGTAGTTGGACCCGAGCTCGGGTGAAGGGAGAAGAACGTGGTTCAGGGGAGGCCAGTTCAAGCACGCGGGAATGTAGAAATGAGTAAATGAGGGTTTTGACTCGGTTTTGGGCTAGTCTTGGGGCTAACGGGACAAGCTAACGGCCGTCCCGTTAGCCCCGCACGCTGAAATTCTGACCGCGTGCGGAAGGACAGATGGCGGACGCTCGACGTGGGGCGAGAGACGGTGGGGCGCAGATTTGAACTCATGCGAATGGGGCTTGCATTGATCGAAGTCGATTCCTTCTCTTACCTAGGAATGGCAACGGGGCGGGGATTACATTCCCCGTTCCCGATCCTGACCCCCAAATCACCCCCCATCCTCGTCCCCAATCCCCAGTGGGGAAAGGAATCCCCCCTCCATTCCCGATCCCGATGGAGATGAATTCTCCGTCGGACTGAGAGTGATTACCCAATTCCAAAAGAGATTGAGAGAAAGACTAAGAGTGAGGTCGGTGAGAGAGAGAGAGGGATTGAGAGAAAGACTGAGAGTCAGAGAGAGAGAGAGAGAGAGAGGGGACCATTGCGAGAGTTGAGGTCAGCGACGAGAAAGAGAGCCCGATGGGCGATGGTGATTGGCAACGATAGACGAAGGTTGAAGGAAGATTAAAGAATTAAACTCTTCTTTGAGTACCTCTGTTCGATGTCTGACGAGCGGGTGGTGATAGTGATGGCGGTCGATGAATCAGCGACGAAGACAAAGGCACGAACTTAGGGTTCAAAGAATTCTCTCTTCTCTTTGTCAAAGACTCAAAGTCGAAGTGTTTTGTGTTTTATTGTCGAGGGTTTTAGTGTTTTGCTGTTTTTTAAGTTTTAATCTTTGAAAAAAACGAATAATAATTATTATAATTATATAATATATAATGTTATATATATTAATCGGGGCCGGGTTGGGGCGGGGCTTGCTTTTCCCACCCCCGTCCCCGAACCCGATCGGACATTCAGGGATAGCCCCATCCCCGACCCCGACCCCGCCAAATTATCCCATACCCGACCCAATCGGGTCGGGTATCCCGGGTACCCGTCGGGGACGGGGAAAATTGCGACCCCTACTTACCCACGGAACTCCCCTCGACAAAATCAACTTTCTCCAGCCAACGACTGTCTTTCTGTCTACTATCTAGACTCTCTCTACCGTGTCGAAACTGACCGAGGGAGAATAGAAGTCTGTAGAGGGGATCTCGAGCCAGAGGGAGAGCGAGTAGTATCTGACGTCGGGAAGAGATAAATCTCTTCGGTTCCAGAAGATCTCCGCCGCTAAACCAGTGTCTCGCCCATTACCGGTGACCCAAGCCGATAGGGAATACTGTATTTCACAGCCATTGTTTTGGTCGTCGACGTACAGGGAACGTCTACAGCACTAACTGTCTTCGCCACTATTGCGAATATCATCAGTTGTTTCGACTAATACCCTCACTTCGGTGCTTTATTCATCGCCAAATACTATCTGAAAGCTTACATTCTGTACTGCTTGAGCAGAGTCATTCCATCAACCGAAGGTATATAGAGGTAAACTTTTTTACCTCACTTTTGTTCCCTGGATTAGTTACAGTGTTGCGTTTTCTCAAGGAGTTCTTTCTTTTTCTTTAATTTCTCATCTAATGTTGTTTGTCGGTTTCTCGTTCCGTTTGTTGATTATTGAAAGTATCTGCATTTCTCCTCTGTTTGGAGGAGGCAACGATTTCACTCTCTCAATCCTTCTGGTTAGTCTGCGAGTCCGAAGGTGGGGTCATGATAGAAAAGGGGTGGGGACGTATTTTCTCACGTTTTGCTCAGGTGATGTCTGGTGTAGAGGAGGAGAGGGAGGATTTTGCTGGGGAATGCAGGTTCTCAATTTGAATTTGCAGTTTTTCATTGTTTAAAAATTAGAGAAGGGAATTGGAGAGAGCCCCTTCCCTTTCTCTCTCAACTTACCCAGAATGGTATGGAGTCACCGTTAATTCTAAATATTTTATGAAATCCAACCCCAAAAGGCCAATTACTCGCAGTTGTGTATTTTGAGGGGTGGCGACTCCATCTGTTCAGCCATGAAGTGAATGGTCGGTTTCCGACGTTCACACCGGTTCATATGTATCGGCTGCTATTTGATACTTTGAACTTTGGATGTGGCTACTGATAAACTGTGTGCTAGGTATATCTCTCTCCCTCAAACTTCTGTTAATGTGCACTCTTATCTCATCAAGAGAATGGAGGTACACGTGTAATATCCTTTCACAGCTCTTTTTCAACCACCGATGCTTCACTACTTCTTCCAATGATGAAGTGGTTGATACTTCTCAGTTAGTGAATTTTATTGACCAAGCTCTCTTGCCTCACAATGACACAGTTGATAAGTCTAAGCACTCCACATCATCCTGAAAAGAGCTGTTCTGATATTGATCAGTGGATGCTTTCCTATCAAGAAACAAGATTAAGGAATCCATTCTTCGTATTTAGAAGAGCAGGCTCAGCTAGCTTGTTAGCTTCTAGAAAACACATGCTTGGAAGTTGAATTTGATCTAAAGCATTAGTCAATTAAAAAGGAGTTTGGGGGAATCCGGTTCCTCCTAGAGTTGCAGCTTTTTGGTTGACAGCTTTGGAAAACATTTTTACTCAAGATCAATTAAAAAAAGAAGATTTCATATGTCTAATAGATGTTATTTGTGTTGTGAAACTGAGGAAGAAGTCCTTCATCTTCTTTAACATTTTTGGTCATGTTGGGGAATTCTCCAAACCCCAAACTACGGATATCTTCGCTTGCTGGCCAGTTCTCTCAGGTTCCAAGAAGGCAAAAATTGTATGGTCTTCTGTTCCTTTTTCTGTTTGCTGGGAGCTTTGGAAGGAAAGAAACAAAAGGCTTTTTGAAGGCAAGGAAAAATCTAAGGAGGAACTTTGCTCTCTCATTGGAAGAAGAATATTGGATTAGATCTTAATTCTGCCAGAGTTTTCAGGAGATTCTAGAGAATCTTTTGGGGCTGGTTTTTGGTCTTGTTTGGAATTGGGTGAACCTTCTTGATGTATTTTATTCTTGTCCTTTGTATCTTTCTTTTTTCATCTCACATCACCTATTGTATTGGCTTGCTCTTGTTTCTTTAATAAATTCCTTTTTTTATTTATCTTAAAAAAAAGATCTCAACACTGCAACTTACCATGATGCCTCAAATATCATCAATGGTGGTTAAGATGTTCCATGGTGGTACACGAGTGATTCATCCTCAAAGATGGTACACGAGTCAATAATAAGCTTGGAATTGCCCTCAATGATGGTACACGAGTGATTCATCCTCAAAGTCACACAAATTGTTTCCTTGGCTGCCCAGGCTTCAACAGTGTTGATGGTGTTCTTCCTATCACATTCAATGGTTTTCACAATCTCATGATCCTTCTCCTCCATAAATTACATTTGAGTGTTTGATTTCTAGCTTTTTGGAGTTTAGAGAGACTGGGCCGAATAGGCCCTAATATTTGTTTTATGTTTAAGTAGTGTTCTATCTGTTTTATGAGTTAATGGGCCTGTTAATCTCTTTTTAATTTCTTTTAAGTTCTTGCTTTGCTGGCCGCCCACTTGAAGGGAGAGAGAAGCCCATCGAACTCTCTTCTCCTTTCCCTTCTTCTTCTCAATCTTCTTCTATTCTGTTGTAACCTTTTTTTCTCTCTCACTTTTCTTATTTTTTATCAGTTTTATATCAGATTTGAAGGACAGATTCACATCTTGGAGCTATTGATATTATCCTTAGCATACTTTTTTTGGTTTTGCTGACCTTGAAATTGAGGCTTCTAATGCACAACTCCTATACATCTCTAGAAATTTCAAAAAATATTTGCTTTAAGAAGGTTAAGGCAAGGCTGGTTTGGGTTCCTTCCATTGAAGGATTTCTGAAATTAAACTTCGATGGGAGTAGTCAAGGCAACCCAGGCCCAGCTGGAATAGGAGGGGTCATTAGAGACAAGGAAGGAAACTTAAGAGCACTGTTCTCAGGACCAGTGGGGAATGGAGACTCCTTAAAGGCAGAATTGTATGCAGCCTTACAAGGTGTACAGATTGCAAGAGAGTTGGGATTGGAAAATTTGGTCATAGAAGGGGACTCCAAGGTGGTGGTGGGGTTGGCTAAAAAACCTAGATTCAGTGATCTGGGCTTACAGAAATGAATTGAAGAAATTCAAATGGTTAACTCAGCAGATGGAGGTAACTATACAATGGGTGGGGAGGGAGGCAAATGCTTTTGCTGATTCTCTAGCTAAACAAGGGGTAACTAGGGAACAGTTGTACTGGGCCCAATTGTAAATTTATGATGTTTCTGTATCAATGAGTGAGGTTCCACCTCGCGCCTCATTTTGGGATGCTTGTAACGAACTATTTTCATTTGCTTCTAATGAAATCAATTGAATTTTATCTATCAAAAGAAAAAAAAAAGAAGAAGAAAAACAAGTTAAAAGAGCCTACGTTACTGCATTTGATTGAGAGAGGCTTATAATGCTCACATGAATCTACCTCCCTTCACTTGTAAGCTTGACGTGGGGTGGTACCATTGATTTAACATCCCCTAACATGGCCCCACCAATTGCAGCTAATCTGGACTTGCAAGAATGATACTAATAAATTAAACAAAAATTTCCAAAATATTACATACTATAGAACAATCGAATTATTAATTTATTATATAGAGATGTTGGATTACAAATGAAATGTCGGAGCTAGCCCCAACATTTACTCTTCTTTTAGGTTTTTTTTTTTTTTTTTTTGAGACTGAGAGTAAGAATGGAGGAGAAAGAAGCTTGGGTGTTTTCAGAAATTCAAACCAAAAAACAAGCTACTAATTAAGGGGGGTTAGGTGAGAATGTAGGAGATAATTAAGCTGTAGTTATCGGGACAATTTGGGAAGAAATGAATGTAGGAGATAAATATAGCTGGCAAATTGAATTCTAAATTTTGTTGGGTTTGAAGATTAGCTAATGGGTTGGATAATATGCAGGGCAAGTTTAGGGGTGAACAGGGACAAATTGTATATGTCTCAATTGCGATATAGCAAATGGGGGGTTAGGTGGTGCATGCCAGCTTATAATTGGAATGTAAAGCATGTTTTACATATTTCATTCTTTTCATCAACTAATAAAAATGTTGCTGTTATCAACAAAAAAGGAAGAAAGAAAAGTTATGACAAGAGGTTGAGAAGAGGGCATTGTGATTGGTTGCTTCACATTCCCATATTTGATTCTTCTATTTTTTTTTATATGAAATGTAACTTTCATTGGAGATATTAAACAGAGTACAAATATCACCACCGCCCACAGGGTGGGTGGAAAATCAGAACAAAAGCCCTACAAACAAGCCCAAAACAATGCCTCCCTAACAACTCATTGCTTAGCTAAAGCATCAGCCATTCCATTTGCTGACCTTCTTACCCATATAAAATGCACCCCAAGTTCCTTTGCTAAGCTAATAATCTCTCTTAGATGCTGTTTCGCCAATTAAAATGCACCCTAAGTCCCTTTCCCAAGTTTCTATATTTCATCCACCCTATTACTAGTTTGGAGTCTCCTACTTCTAAGTGTTGCATTCCCCATTGTTTCGCCAATTTCAGTCCTTGGAGTAAGGCCATGACTTCTTCCCTCAAAGAATCTCCCACCCCAATCGGGCCCGAGTAAAGGGCCAAAACTCTTCCTTCCTCATTTTTGAAGACACCCCCAACTCCCGACGGGGAAAAGGGAGAGGATATGGATAGAACTCCAAACTCCAATTTCTAACTAAGTCATCTTAGGAGAAGTCCTTGAACAGTTGCTGCACTTTCAACCAATGCAGAAACTTGATGGTAATGACTTCAACAAGCGCTTCCTTGGATTTTTCTTGCCCTTGGAAAATCCTGTTGTTTCTCTCTTCCCAAAATTTGATTCTTCTATTTTTGTTTGCCTTTGTTTATTTAAGCTCTTCCTTGGATCAGGCTCAATTGAAGACTTTGGGATTCCATTGATTACATTCTCCCAATGCATCTAGGTTTTGGTATTACCAATGATTTTTTATTTGTTTTCTCTTCGTTTATTTGTTTATATGATCACAAGTAGTTTGTTTTAGTATTCATTATTTTATAGCATTTTATTTATAATTTGCACATGTATATATTCTAGTGAGAGGGAAGTTAAGAAACATGCTTAAAAATTGAGTTTTACATAAATGCATTTGAGATGGATGAGTGGGAAAAGTAGAAAGGATAGAGTCAGAAATGAAGTTAGTTAGATGGGCTAGGGGTAAATAAAAAAGGACATGGGTTAAAGTAGTAAGAAATGATTCAAGGGTTCATAATTTAACAATGGATAAAGGGCAGCCCAGTGAATGGGGCTTCCACCAATGCAGGATCTGGGGAGGTACACCGTACATGTTACAGATGTATGAAGCCTTTAGCTTGTACATACAGGGGCTGTTTCCAAGTTTTGAACCCTGGTCACCCAGGTCGCAATGGAGCAACCCGATTGTTGTGTCAAGGAATGGTGAAACAAGATTCATCGTTCATGTAGCCGACCACATATAGTTGGGA